AGAGAGAGAGCAAGGGGGATAGAGAGAGAGAGAGAGAGAGAGAGAGAGAGAGAGAGAGAGAGAGAGAGAGAGAGAGAGAGAGAGAGAGAGAGAGAGAGAGAGAGAGAGAGAGAGAGAGAGAGAGAGAGAGAGAGAGAGAAGAGAGAGAGAGAGAGAGAGAGAGAGAGAGAGAGAGAGAGAGCGAGAGAGAGAGAGAGAGAGCGCGAGAGAGAGCGAGAGAGAGAAAGAGCGAGAGCGAATGAGGAAGAGCGCGCGCGAAAGAGAGCGAGAGGCAGACGGGTGTACGTGCGATACTCCCCTCACTCCGCACACGTGCGCGCGGTGATGACGTCACACCTTAGCGAGTCTCGACACGTCATAACACGGCTATAAATCATGAGAGAGCGAAGACGTCTATCTATAAATAACGACGATGTTTCTCCTCAGCTCGGCGACGACGTCTGAGCGATGGCGATGGATGAAAGAAGAATGCCCATGCGCTGCGAAGATAGCGGGCTGCGCTGTCGAATCGAGATACGTTCTTAATTACGCTCATTAACTCTAATTAGAAACAACTTTATTAAAAAAAAGATTTAAGGTCGTGACAATCTATATTTCAGAGTTGTTGTTGTTGTTGTTGTTGTTGTTGTTGTTGTTGTTGTTGTTGTTGTTGTTGTTGTTGTTGTCAGGTTGAAAGAGCTCGCTTAACCATCCTCCGAATGGCGCCAATTTGCATGCCTAGTTTCGTCACTAAAAAAAAGGTAAAAGGAATGATCACACAGTGCAAGCGAGAAACAGATTTAAATAATGTAGATTGCTAATGTAACAATAACTCGTTAAATTGAATTAATTTAAATGTTACTAACCACCGGCTCTTACCGGAAAGTAGCATTCATAGAGTTTTTTCATCTATTTATTTATTTTTCCCCTATCCTATTTTATCTTTATTTCTCTAATATTTCTATCTATATCTCTAATATTTCATCTATATTATCTTCAATTTTTTATTTTTTCTATCTATATTTTTACTCGCCGTAACCCGTGCTGCTGGCGCCACCTACCGCTCAGCTTTCCGTTGTAGCCCCACCAGTCCCAGTCACCGTCGGGGTTCAGGGGCGTGGCGACGGTTTGCGGGTAAACAACGATGATGTTGTTAAGTTCTGCGACCTCGTTGTATCCCGCGTTGCGTGCGAACGCGTCTCCTATCTTCTCCCTGGTCATCGATGGATCATCGATTAATCACCAGTGATATCGATTACGATCAGTTTTGCGAAACTACAGGGTTAGTTTAGTTTGCGTAGCTGATTAAGATCGTCTCGTTTGATTGATAAATTTGTTGCAATTTTGTTGTTATTAAACTATTTTAAATTTTAAACTAAGTTTGTTTGACAGACGAAACATGTAAGGTAACAAATAGACGTTTGTGCTCACAAAACACACAAAACGTCACAAGCTTACTTCAACCGAAAGAACACGATTACATAATTAAACGATTAATTAAAGACAACAGTATAGGATGAAAAGAAAGCAGTAGTGAAATGTTATTACCTTCGCTGTGATTCTCCGTGAAATACAACATGCAGCTTACAACCTGAAAAAATCATACACGACATTCGCAGATCTTATAAACACACACGCGCACGCACATGCACACGCACACGTACATGTACACGCACATGTACACGTACACGTACACGCACATGCACATGCACACGCACATGCACATGCACACGCACATGCACACGTACATGCACACGCACACGCACACGTACATGCACATGTACACGTACATGCACACGCGCACGCACATGCACACGCACACGCACACGTACATGCACACGCGCATGCACATGCACACGTACATGCACACGTACATGTACACGTACACGCACACGCACACGCACATGCACACGCACGCGCACACGCACACGCACATGCACACGCACACGCACACGCACACCCACGCGCACACGCACACGCACATGCACACGC